GTTTGATTTTTATATATATTGAGCAGTGTATTGAATATTCAAGTAAACAGTGTAAATGTTCACAAATCCAAAAAACACCATTATACAATAAAATAAATAAAATTGAGAGAATGAGATGATTTAAATTTTATCAAACAAAAGACCAATCTGAGCAAAAACTACATTTTTGTATTTTTTTTTATTTATTTTTTTTAGCCCATAACAGAAACAATAAAATAAAATGAACAAGACTCAAACATATACAGTTACATATACTGACAGGTAATAGAAATTAAATGTCAAATTAACACTTGTCATATATCAATCTTAAGTATAAATAAATAATACATTTTATATAAATTACAACCTAAGTTCAACCCATTAGTGAAACGTCTACTAAAGAGCAGTTTTACGACTAACTCCTAATCTCTAAATGAGTCCCTCACATGACTTTGAACTTGAATGAAGTGATCAGTGAACAGGACACCATCATTATTAATCCAATAAACTGCACTTTATTTTATTTGTCATCCTGTAAAACATTCAGTGAAGAAGCTTGACGTGTGCTGACGCTGTCTGCATCTTCATCACATGAAGACCTCTCTGCTGCTTACTGGCTGCACGGTGAGAAGCGAGGCTCCGGCCGTGGTGGAGATGTGAGTGTGTGAAAGCGCCCGGAGGAGAGATTAGGGGCAGATCATCCTCAGCCCTGCTGCAACTCCTCCTCTGCTTTCTTCTTCTTCTTCTCCTTCTTCTTCTTGTTTGTGCCTGAAGCAGAAAACAGTCATAGAAAAATGCAAAATCCTTTTGTTTGCGTTTGCTTTATTGACGTGAAAGCACTGACAGCCACTGTGACACCTTTATTGTAAAACAGCAAAACAAGCGGAACAAATGAACCCCTATAATAAAACTGTGCTCATGTGTTTAAGACGCTCATGGTCAGCGTCGTCTTAATGTATCCGTGCCTATAACGTGGTGGTAATAACTCCTGTTGTGGCCTTCGACGGGATCCCAGGCCCCAGCTCTGGCCCCCCCATCAACCCCCAGCAACAAGAGAGTTACTTGTAGAACATGACGTGCCAGAAAGGGAAGATCACAGCTGCGGCAGTTGCATGGGAATGTGCTTTTAGTTTGTACACAAAAGAATGCTGTCACTCTACATCAAAGCAGCCTGACGGACAAACTCAACTGGTGTGTGTTGGTGTGTGTGTGTGTGTGTGAGAGAGAGTGATTGAGCACACCTCAGTCAAAAACACACCTCCGCAGACCTCGTGCCAACTTCGCCGACGCCAGAGAGTCTGACCTGCGTGAGGACTGAGCCCGTGCTCCGTGTCTGCGTGTGGAAGTGGGGCAACACAGCGAGGACCCATCCCTGCACCGTGACTGCAGGGTTCATCTTTGTTCTCCACTGACATAATTACAAGCTTTCAGGAACCTCCTCACCTTCTTCTTTTATTTTATTTTTTCCCCCCCTCTCTGTGTCCTAATCATGCACCTTCTCTGCTGTTTTTGGCTCTCGCACACATGCAGGTTTAAATCTTCTGTCAGGAGAAGGCACACACACTTCTGTGTTCAAGAGCTGGTTTGAGCTCCGGTCGTCTGAGGCTGCAAACGTTGTGATCAGCTCCTGATCAGCGAGAGTTCACAGCCACAAGGCAGGAAACTTGTTCCACATGAGCCCTTTCCCCCCTCTTTTTATTATGACTGGATCTTATTTACAGCGATAATAATTTGTGTCTGTGGCCTGCGGGGGGAAGCGAGGAAATGCAGGCCATTCTTTAATGCCACCATGAATCCCAGTAGTTGCAGACAAGAGTAGGACATGACCAAAATGACGGGGTTGGACGGCGGCTCGAGCCACCAAAGGCTCTGTTAGCAATTTGACTGCAGCTCATGATTTATAGAAGAAAAGTGACGTGTGTGTATTAGACGCTGCTGTGGCACATCCAGTAGCTGTGATGGTTTGAACTTATTACAGATAAAAATCCACCTCCAGAGTGGAAAAACCAGACTGGATGCAATGGTAAAAAAAAAAATAGCTTTGTCCTGATGATGATTCTTTTCCACAAATAAGTTCAATTAATCCTCAAATGCAAATTTAAGCATAAAGTTTTTACATGTTTCACATTCATTGCTGTGTGGAGCATTTATCTTTAAAACTAATAGTTTTTATGCAGACTTCCTGCACAATCCACTGATAATTAAATGGATGAAGTTTCAAGAATGAGGAAACCTGGACTGAACTCAATTTGAACTTGTTTACCTTTTTATACGTGCCCTCAAATGACTTGTTTAAATTAACCCGCGTCACGTTTAAACATGCATTCAGGGAAGATTAGGAATTTTAAAAAACTAACATCCTAATGCAAACATTTGAGATATTTTAACCCAAACATGTTTATTGAATTAAAGGGATGAAATTAGAGGAACTAAATTCCACATGTTTCCTCAGTTATAACAGATTTTCTTTAAATCTTCATGGGAAAAGCTCTTAAATAGGCTACTTGAAATAATTGTCAACAAATGCTTGATCAGAATTTTAAATCCATTTTATAAGTAAAATAAGGATTTTGTTGCTGCTCTAACTTCAGAAAGTTGTTCACTTTTAAAAGCTGAATAAGTTGTATATTATTTAATATATATGTTGGTGTTTTACTGCCTCCACTGTGTTGAAAATGCTTTATCTCAATTTGACTTTGGTAAATGAAGGAGCTATCACTGCAACTGGAAATGTGAACATTAAATTATGTTTGTAATTTTAATTTAAAAACACAAAAATAAAAATATTGTATATAACTCTGAACAATTATTTCAGTTGCAAGCTTTAAAAAAATAAAAGAAATCTAAACATATTTAACAAAAAAAGATTAAAAATGTTTGTATAATGAAGAAAAAATTCACCTAAATTTCAATTTTAGCAAAAAAAAATTAAAACATACAATATACAGTATATAGAAAGAAAGAAAAGAAAGACTAAATAAATGTTAATGCTGACTGTCCTTTACCTTCATGATGAACTTGTTTTATAAAAATGAATATTTTTTTTGTTGTCTTGAAGTTTTTGATCACTAAATATTTGTATATCAATAAATGATGATAAATATATGTTACACCCTTCTTTCGGCTTCTTATTAACAGTATATTGGGAGTGTTTGTGGCCTGGTGGAGGAGGTGGGAGGAGGCGCTCTGGTGGAGGTTAATGGAGGAGCTCGGGTGACAGCCGGCAGCAGGACCAATCAGAGAGCCCGCTCCTGCTCCGCTGCGTGTTTGAGCCTCTGCAGGCAGCAGCTCCTTCAACAACCGCCTCAGCTCTGATGTAAACCGGGATACCTTTAGCTTTTACCCGCTTTCTCTCCCCGGAACACCTGCGAACATGCGCGGCGGGACGTTTTCCCACGCGGATCTGCTCTTTACGCAGCTTTTTCCCTTGGATTCAGCGGGTTTGTTCCAGCTCTTCTCTGCTTTCTGACATGAACCTTTCTTCCGAGCGACGCCTTGATGGACTTGTGCACTAGCTAATGATGTCTATGGGTTTCATGCCTGACAGTCTGAGTGGCTCCGATCCCTCCAAATCGGCCTTTCTGGAGTTTGCCCACGGACACCCGGCGCACCAGCAGCCCTCCCCGGGACTCTCCCACATTTACCCCGTCCATGGCTTGCACGCTGCCGGCCATTCTCAGCACGAAGGTCCCTTTTCTGCAGGCAACGCGTCCTATGGCCACTCTTTGGGTTACGCCTACCCAGGCTCGGTGAACACTCACCCCCCGTCCGCCTACATGTCCTACCAGCAGCACAGCAGCAGCAGCAGTCTGTCCCACAGCAGGTTAGAGCGGACAGGTATGTGAGAGCACAAACTCAGAGCCCCCTGACCCCCCCTAAATACCATAAAGTACACTTATCATCGCTCCTGTGCGTAATTACGCACAAGACGCGCTTCTTTTTCTCCTTGGTGAGAGCAATGCCTCATTTTAAAGCATGGTAGGTTAACAAAAGTAACTTTTATATTAGTTTAAAATATACAATAATTATAATGTGAAGAAAGAATGAATCATGGTGGGTATAACGCAATCAGTTATCCAAATAATAATTAGCGCCGCCGCTTGGAGAGGAGCACTCTGCTCAGCACCTATGTGTGAAACATGGTGCCATCTGTTTTACTGACTTTTTTTTTTCTTTTACAGTAATGGCCTGTGTAATCTGGGCCTAACGCGCTTTTACCTGCTCTGTTGATGCTAATTAGCTCAATCCGGGATTTATAAAAGCGATCCACTTAAGCCTGAGAGGGAGCTCTGATTTATCACAGTTTGCAAAACGTGTCGCAGTTTTTGTGGAGAATAATCCTGCAAGCTTTGTAATTCCTTCAACCAAAGACTCAAACTGTAAATCTGCTGATCAACGCAGAAACGTCACCCCGCAGGGCCTCAGTGAGGAGTCCTGCATGCAGGCCTTCCGTGCATGCGCTGCAGACACTTTGTTTCTTGTTTGTGTGTCATTTGTAAAATTAAACAGTTTTTTTTTTTTTTTTTTTGTGCTGACTGGAACTTCATCCAAAAGTCTTTTTCCTGACCTTAAACTGTTTCTGTTCCAGATCGAGACAAGTCCTCGGTGTGTGAGGACAGGGACGTCCGGCTGGTGAACGGAAAGGGCAAAAAGATCCGGAAGCCTCGGACCATCTACTCCAGTCTGCAGCTGCAGGCTCTGCACCAGCGCTTCCAGCAAACCCAGTATCTGGCCTTACCGGAGCGCGCGGACCTGGCGGCCAAGCTGGGGCTCACCCAGACACAGGTGGGCTCAGACCCTCCTCTGCAGACAGTGCGCGCTCGTGCCTGTCCGTCTGTCGGAACTCTTCCCTGCTCATTTTTTGTTCCATGAAATTAACTTAAAAAAAAAAAAAAAAGCCTGAAGAAAGGAAAAGTTGACTCATGAGGTTTTTATTGTCAGGCCGATGCGTCCTGCGCTTTTTGTGATTATTTTCTTGATTTTTGTCAGTGTTGGTCCTGTCTGAACAAACAAGCATACTTTTTTTTTTTTTATTAAAAAAACATAAATTATAATAATTTTAAAAGGTAAAACAAATGCATATGTTTACGTAATGCTTCATTCTAAAGTAAGCCAAAGTGTGTGAAGAGTGCTGACTTGATGCTGTGGGGATTTTTATTTTTATTTTTTTGGGTGGGGGGGAGGGAGGGGTTGAATCTCTCACTTTCCTGCGTGAGTTACATGGCGTGCACGCGCGTGGGCCAACAGGTGCACGTGTCAAACGCTTGTCGCTTCCCTGCACTTTTGATGTGAAAACCGATGAAGTTAACGGGTCGAGTTTGCAGAGGATCCTCTCCGCCACCTGAGCTCGTGCACATAATCCCCTGCAACAGCGCAGGATCTCCTGCTGCTTGTCTTCCTATCAATGAACTCCCAGTTAGACTCTTAAATGTTGCTCTTGTTGTTTGTTTAAGCTTCTTCTTCGTTTGGGTCACATTTGAGTGACAGCTCTGTTGCCGGCCTCTGTTAATTCCTTAATTTGCTTCAATCCGGTGGATTTAAAACAACAGAGGAGCCTCGTTCAGTAAAACAACAAAACAGATAAATTATAGATTTTTTTTTTTAACAATTCCGACTAATTCTTCCCGTTTTCTGACTTGCAGGTGAAAATCTGGTTTCAGAATAAACGCTCCAAGTACAAGAAGATCATGAAGCACGGCAGCGCCTCGGAGGGGGAGCACCTCCACAGCACCAGCTCCGTGTCCCCCTGCTCCCCCGCGCTGCCCCAGCTCTGGGAGGTCTCCATGGCGACCAAAGGGGGGCCGATGCACCCGAACAATTACGTGAACACTTTTGGCCACTGGTACCCGAACCACCACCACCACCCTCACCAGGACGCCATGCCGAGGCCTCAGCTGATGTGAGAGGATTTTCTGCAGCTGCTCGGCCGAAACATTCAGGCCGAGCTGGACTGGATTTTTTTTATTTTATTTTTTCACGTGGAGCTGTTTAAATGTGTGTTGAAGAGACTTTGTTCTTCGAGGTTTGTTTTGTTTGCAGCTCCTGCATGAAATGTTCACGAGACGCATAAAAGGCATTTTGATGGAAAACAATTGCTGTGTGAGTGGATTTATTTTAGATCACTTGGACTTGGGGCACATTTTAGTGGCTAAAAATGAAAAGTGGTTGTTGAGGGTTTTTTTTATTTTTTTTTATAGAAAGTTATAAAAACCTTTTTTTTTTTTTTAAATCGCCCTTGAACGCCACGTCTTCTTTATGATTAACGAGCGAGGCTTGTAAACGCTTTTATGATTTGATAGTTTTATGGTGATTTATTACTGTAACACACTCATGAAGCACGAAAAGGCTTGATAATCATTCATCCACAAAAATCCTAAAAGTCTGTTTAAAACTTGCTCCATCATTTATATAAATTATTATTTTTATTAATTATGTATATATTTAAAATATTTCACTTTATTTAAATTCAAGGGAGATGCCCCTAAAGAAAACATCAGCCTTCATTAACTGCAGGTGACCTAAAACGATCCGAGGTGTCACCTTTATGCACAAAATGAAGTTTTACGCACGGGACAACTTTTACGCACCGTTCCAAACGCTTCACCAAATCTGACTCGAACATTCAGGCAAGATAAATTCAATCCTTTTTTCTTTTCCCATCTGCTGCTGAAACCTAATAAACGACAACATCCATCTTTTTCATCAAAGAATGAGTACTTGCGTGCAGAACCGAGGGAGTTAAAAAAACAAAACAAAAAAAAAACAGGACATTTTATCGATACTTTCCCTCCACAGTGAGCTCAAATGAAAATCACCGCTGTCATAACACGGTGATGAACGAGGGTGCCATCCCTGCGTCGGACTGCGCCTGATTTCGCGCACGGATCTGCTCAGTCTGGCGCTGTTTAATCAGCAGTTTATGTCTTCCCAAACAGTCCGAGCTGATTAAATGGAGAGCTGATCTCTGATTAATGGGGCTGAGAAGCGCGTTAAAGAAACAATCTGGTGACGCTTCCCATTCATCACGCTGCTGCTCGGGCTGTCTGGCTAACACTGGGAGCCATTTGTCTCGTGCCACATCAGGGATTATAAAAACAGCAAATAAATGCATCCGACTTGTCTGAGATGTTTGCTCTGATATTAGCTAAGAATATATACTTCCAGGTGTTTTCATCCTTCAAGGTGAGAAAAACAATTATTTAAATTTAGTATTTAAATACAGCACACTCAAAAACATTCCCACTCATGCTGCATGCAGCCCTTACCTCTCCTCAGCCTTGTGCAGGAGCCCTGCACCCTCACTGCTGCACCCATGAAGAACAAAGCCGGATCTCTGCGTTTTCACCCCTCCAAGTTGATTTCCCCCCACATAAGGACAAGCATTGTGATATTTTAACATCACCTTCTTTATATATATATATATATTATATATACACCCCTCGTGCCCCCTTTTCCCTCATTCTTGATGATTATGTGCCTTGTCAAACACGCAGGCCTGGGGAAGAAGAAGAGGCAAGTGATGGGGGCATCAGGGAAAATTATAGGCAATTTCACATCTCCAGATTAGAATAATGGCTTGTGGAGTTGGACAGAGAAGAGTAGGACCTTTCAAACTGGGGACCAATTATCACGTAGGCAGATTGAAGGGAAAGTGAAAAGGCTCCCTGTGTATCAGACAAGCTTAGTCGAGGGGGAGTGTGGGGGGTGTAGGAGATGGGTTGAAGCGTAATGATAAAGGCAGGTCTGACTGTATCGACTACATGAATTGTCCCGGGTTATCAGATATGAGGTGTCTGATGGGTTTTAATTGCAGGATAGCAATAAGAGAGAAAATAGCTTGTTATTAACTCCCAGCTCTGAATGGGTGAAAGGCAGTGCAGGTCTCTGGGGTGATTATTGTTATTAACGTGAGGGATCTGACATCTCGGATAATTGTAAGCAGCTCTTCTATTAAAGAGAGTGGATGTGCCGTTTTAGAAAACGGGGCTGAACTGGGGCTCAGAGCGAGTGGAGAGTATAAAACGAGGTACAGTCTGGTAAGGAAAGGATTCAAACACTGGAACCAGCACGACAAAAGCTGTTCTGAAGAGGGATGCATCAGCCTGGACTTGCCCTGCCCTGGTCGGCGAGGTCATCCAGGGTTCATGGCTTCACAGCTGTCAAAGATGCCTTTCTTCCTTCATTTCATCCAAGCTTACCACAAACCGGGGAGCCTGAGTGATCCTAATGTGGCCAAGACCCAGCCTGGCCTATAGGACTAACCGGGACAGCTGTTGGAAGTCTTTCCATGGCTGCCTCAACTGGTATGGCCGCACTCAAGAGACAAGTGCTGACACCTCACTGTCGACTGTTGCAGGGGCATAGAGATGATAAGAGGGGTCACAGGGGCCCGGGCACCGAGCCTCTTCAGGCTGTGGTGATGCCGTGTTGTGCAGGATCACATTCAAGTTCAAAGGTTCACCCTCGCCCTCCTCGGCTGTTGCTCTTGTAAATGTTTTGAGATGACATATATGAGTGTGTCGGCACACCAGTGCAGCTGAGCGCACGTTTGTCTTCAGCACAAATGGTTCACAGTCAAAGGGCCACACAAGCTGAGCAGGGCCCCCACAGGGAGGTCGCATGCATGTGCGATGAGATTTTATTGATATTTAAAGGCAATAGTGATCACGCTGCTTTTGTCAAATCAGCACAGGGGGATTTGCAGAACGACTGATGCTGCGCAGACAACTGGGGTCGCTTTCAGGGCCATTAAACAAACTGGGACGTTAGGGGAATGGGATTAGGAGCCATGACGCGTTAGCTTTTAGCTAATTCTGAGAAAATGTGCTTGAAGCTTCAGAACAGAGAAAACAACACGATAAAAGGAAGACAGAGCGCTGTAAATGTGACAAAACTGTTGAAAATTGTGAACTTTAATATTTTCTTAAAGCCCGAGTCTCTAATTTCACACAGAAGCTGTGTGAAATTATGTACTAATATATGAAAAACATGAATTACACAATTCAAACAGAAAAAAAAAGCAAAATCCAGGGAAATTTATTTTTGGTATGGTCAATGTTATAATTTGTTTACAAAATTATGAGGAAAATAACATCTCTGTGAATAAAATAAAAAATATGTTTTATATCATCTTCTAATTATTAATCAAATCTGAGCACATTTATCTAAAGTTCACAAAATTGCAAAGTCCTTCTGGAAATTAAGTTCTTGTTGGACTGGGTTTGTTTTCTTGCAGGTGATAAAATGCTGAAACTCTCAGGTGTACACAGCTAGCCAAACAGTTAGCTTCGCTAACCCATTTTACGCTAACTAAAAAAAATATAGCTTTGTTAATACTAAAGTGCTAACTGTTAACTTTTTTTTTAACTTTATTTGCAAATTTAGTTCAAAAAACACAGTTTGCATTAAAAGGGAAGAAAAATTGTTGTACATATCAAAGTATCAATCTAAGCTAATCGCTAACTTAAAAAAAACAACAACTTTATTTGCAAATTTACAGTTTACAAATCACGGTTCGTATTAAAAAGGAAGAAAATTTGTTGTACATATCGAAGTATCAATCTAAGCTAACCGCTAACCGCTAAGAAAGCCGTCAGTCTGTGTCAGACGTCTTGTCTCCTTCCGGCTGCAGCTGTTTCGACCAATCACGTCACGTCAGGTGAACATGTCGTGAACCAATGGCGTGCCTAACAGACTCTTCTAGACACGCCCACAACAGACAGGAACAAGCTTGTGAATTTTGCTAATATAGCGGACGTTAATTCTGCTAACGATTTCCAAAGTTAGCAACAATGCTTCTCCGCTACGCTAAATGAAAAAATAAAAAAGTGTTAGCTGTTAGCGAGTGAGCGAAACTGTGCCCACCACTGGACTTGACATATCAATTTCAATATTCGTTGAATGATGTCATTTCATTCTTGTCAGAGATAACAATATGAAATGTGCTCATCAGTGTCTGAAGTCATTAAAACAAATAAGGGCAGGTTGTCACAACATAAATACAACGTGTAATAATTAACAACAGCTATGAGATAAATATAAATTTGGCGTGCCGTGAGACTGAGCAAAGCTTCTCTGTAGTCACGCTCTCCCAGTGCAGCACCTTTACTGCAGCCTGCATACCATTCCAGTTACTAAAAGCAGTAGAAAAGGCCGTAAAAGCTCCACACCGTGGGTACATTCTCTCTCCGTGCGTAATGGTGGCGCCCCGGTGGTCCATGTGGACGAGATCCCCATCAGCAGTTTCACCGTTGTCTCATTATTTTTTCAGCATATTTAATAAAACCTGCTTTATGTGGCCAAACGAGCTCCATTTAGCTTAAAGGCTGCTTCTTTCTGTCCTCTCTTCTTTTATGATTTAATGCGATTTTCTCCTCGCTGCTGTCACAACATTCATTATGAGAGCAGTCCATCAACTTTTCAGCTTTATATTGGTGCTTTCCAGTTTTCCACAAGTGCCATGCTCGCTTCCATTAGCACGCGGGAAAAGAGCTTTTGATCAGAACTAAATTTTAAACAGTCTATTTGGAGCTTTTGTTTGCTTGTAGAAAAAAAATGAGCCTAAAAGCACTTTATATTTTATTTATTATTATTATTAAAATTCTTTTGGCAGTTAATGCGTCGTCATATTGTGATTGCGTGTGTCTGCCTCTGCCTCGCCCCCCCATTACCCATCATCCACCTGCACTGTCTGCGGTTTAATTTCATATCAAAACGCTTCTCTGATCTGGAAGCAGAACATTAATAAAAGCAACTGACTCCAGCTTGTCTGCATAGAGTTGCAGGAACAAAATATTGAGACCTACATCCTAAATTCAAAACACCAAGAACAATATAATATTATCATCATTATTATAATTATCAGTAGTAGAAAGCAGAAGTATCATGGCCTACACTGCTCTGTTGTTTACTACAAACTTAAAGGACTAGTTAGATGTGGCTATTCTTTAAAAAAAATAATTTCAAACTCAAATTATTATATTTGTACTTTGACATTTGGAAAAGGAACAACTGGTTCGCGGGCGCCTCCTCATTTAAGCTCCAACTGAACAAATACAGGATTTAAACTTTTGAAACGTTCTAAAACACGTTTTAGTAAATTTTACAAATACAAAATAAAATAACTCTTAACAACTTATGGGTTTAGGCTCAGATGTGAGAAATTTCATTTGAAGCCGTTTTTCCACCCATGTGTAAAAACCTGATCAAATGAGCCTCTGTAACAATGTTGATACTATTTAGACTTGATCAATAATCAGAACTGACCTGTTATTGATCCTAATTAGCAGGTAAAATTAGTTTAAACACCGTGTAGTATAATTATTTAACATAATTGTTGTTGAGGCAGAAAACTATTTTTTACAGTGTATTAAAACAAATAAATGTTTAAATTCTCCTCTGCTCTGCTGCAAAACACACACAGCTATTTTAATATATTGTTTTACCTATTTTAAAACAGATGGCTTTAAAAAAACATCATCTTAAATGTTCACAAATGGCAGGACACAAGTAATAATTACCATCTTTATTCATTTAACAGTAAAAGGCAACAGGCTGACTAAATTACAGGAATATAAAAAAGGTAGCACCACCGTGCAGTCTTCCCGGTCCAAAAGAATCTGATCATAGTGGTTCTGAGTATAAACACGTATTTACAACCTTCAACATCTTTGTACAAATCTTTTATAAATATGTCCTGAGTTTTTCTTCTCTACAAACCCATGATTTGACTGCAGCATGGATCAACAGCACAGTTTGGTTTTTGTGTGTCTAGGCTACATGTATTTAATATAAAAAAAACAACAACAACAAAAATTGCATATTCATTTACAAAAAAATATAGTTACATACAACAGAAGCGATAAATAATTTAAAAAAACACGCCACAAGTCTTGTTAAAACGCTGCCAAAAGTGATTGGAAATCCCTTTATGTGCTTTTTTTTTTTAAATTAAAAAAAAAACCCGCAGCTGTGAAACATTCCTGCTCATCCAAAACCAAAAAAATAAAAAATAATAAATCATGGTTTTATTTCAGGCCTGCTCCGGGTCCATTTCGCTCTGCATAGTCTTTAGACTTTTTATTGAATGACAACTGAAGAGTCCATGTTAATAAACAGCCCCCACACTTTGCTGCGGGACGGGGTGGTGCACGGTGCCGGGGTGCTGTAGGTGGGATCCCTGCTGGTACCAGTGGCTGTTATAATCCTCCAGGTAGGGCGGCGACGAGCTGTGCGCGGGCTGTGGCACCTGCGGCCGACTGATCGGGGTGTTCTGGGGGGTGCTGTTGTCCCACACTGCGGGGGAGGGCGGGGAGTTGCAGGCCATTGAGTCGCTGGCGTTGGGGCTGTGCTCCAAGGGAACCTCGCCGTTTTTGTACAGCTTCTTGAACTTGGATCTCCGGTTCTGAAACCAGATTTTCACCTGAAAAAAAAAAAAGGGATAACATTTAAAACGTTGCACAAATGCCAAAAAAAAAAGTGTTTTATTGTGAAGTAAATAAATAACATGATGGGATATTTTATTTGTTTACGATGAGAAAGTGAAAGGCAGAAATCCAATCTTTCCTGCGTAATTACGCGCCAGCGTGCAAACAAAAGGCAACTGATTGGCCACATTGGAAACCCCTTGCTCACGTGACTGTTAATTCTAATTAATTAGTAAAATACCAGGTGTTAGAGCCGGTCAATAAGCACATACCTGCGTCTGGGTGAGGCCGAGCTGCGCCGCCAGCTCGGCTCTCTCTGGCAGCGCCAGATACTGCGCCTTCTGGAAGCGCCTCTGCAGCGCAGCGAGCTGGTAGCTGGAGTAGATGGTCCGCGGCTTGCGGATCTTTTTGGGCTTCCCGTTCACCATGCGGACCTCGGGCTCTGGCTCTTCTTTCACTACAAATTGCATGGAAAATAAATACATTAATGAATGAATGAGCCAAACTAAGCCGCCTCTTGTTACTCTGAAGCTCAAACAAGCAAAGCGAAAAATGTCTGCGCACAACTTTTTTCATTCTTAAATTACATTTTTTTTCTCCCCACAACTTGACTATTTTACTCACTAAAAATCGTCATCGTTAAAACTACCATTCTTTTTTTTCTTGATGATTCATTTCCATTTGAAATTCCTTATAGATCAAAGAGCGTAAATAGTGGAACTATTAAAGGGAATTTTACTCTTCATTATAAAGTCATATATTTTTGAAAAGCTGCCACTTAATAAAGTTCGATTTAAACCTGGGAAATGCTCAGATATTCAAACACCAGGTGAATTGTGTATTTTCCAGATTTTCATTCTGTATAATTCAGCCTAATGTGCTCCGAACATTCAGTGGACTCTTAAAAAAGAGAAACAGATGTTTGTCTGAGGATGATGATGATGATGATATCTACCTGAGCCCGGAGGAGAGGCCTGCAGGTGATCCCTGTTGTAATGTCCGTACTGTCTGTAGCTGTTAGTGTAGGGGTATTCAGACTTGGTGGCGTACGCTCCAGCCGCCCCCATCCCGTTCAGGTTAAACTGGTGATGGTAAGAGTTCATGGGCTGTCCGTACGGCTGGCTCTGGTAGTACTCGTGGTGCGCCGCCTGCCCGCTGTAATAGCCCATGTCCGTCACCGAGGACTCGGGCAGAGTCGGGGAGTCCTTGGAGCTCGGGTGGCAGCTCATAGATCCGGGAAGGTCTGTGAGAATGCTCGCGATCTTCTTCTCATAGCCCTGTCCGGCGCTCATGGTGACAAGGGCTCCGGAGTTGTTCAAAACAAGAAAATCCCACTTCACGTTGACGCGTAAAGAAGCAAAAAAAAAAAATATATGAAAGAGCAAGCTGTGCGCGCGCGCTCTTCAGCGCCCTGCAGAGCTTCTAGTCCACTGAAACTCCCCCAGCTGCAGAAACTGACTTGTGGCATTGCTCAGCCCCCGTGGCACAAAGTTATAAAGAATGGGCTGGACTCTGCTCTCTGATTGGCTGACGCTCTTCTCCCCCTGCTTGTTGCGCTCCGAGCAAAAGTCTTGACAGTTTCAGGCTGCAGACCTCTCTGATTTACCCTTTTTTAAATGTATCTGTTCACTTTGACAAACATGCAGGTTTTATTTATATATATTCACAGCGCGAATACGGTGTCAGATCGGTATCTATAT